AATGTTTTGAGAATGATGTACAAATGCGCTTTACACAATTGATGTGTGTATGGATTGCGATAACAGTTGTATGAGCCCCTAATAAAATGTTAAAAAACAGAACAAAAAAGAACAATGTGAGGATGGTGAAGGACCAGGCAGTGTGACATTCTGTTGTACATAGGGTCACATGTGAGTGAGTCAGACTGATGCAATAGCACCTAACTACAATGGACTGGGTTGCTTTGATCTGCCTTTCCTGCTCATTTAATGTGTTTCTTGTTATTGCATTGCTTCAGATTCATTTTTGATGGCTTTATAGGCTTTCTAGACCAGCTCCCTGGCTTACTCTTCTGTGACTCAAGCTGAAGCAAGCACAATGACAACAAGGTAGAATTGCTTGAATCCTTGAAACTTGGCAATTATCAAAATATGCCACATGGTTTTTAGAAGATTCCAGCCCCAGGCAGTTTAACTATAGTCCTTAGAATTCATTTGCTTTCTTGCTGCAAATTCACAGTCTCTGCGTTCAATCGGAGATCAATATGTTAAAGGTAAAGGCTGGGATGGATTTCCAACAGAAGTAGTTTAAGAAAAATGGGATAGGGTTACTATTGCTTTCAACAAGATGGCTTCAAAATGGGACCATGATGATTCTGTCTAGAATGAACCTCCTGTAATGTAAGAAGAAACAGATTTTCCAAACCGCTGTATGAATAGTGAATAGAATAAGTAACAGAGCACACATTCATTCTCTAAGAAAATAAGGAATCATGCCTGCTGATATCAGAACTTCCTCCTCAGCTCTAACATTTGGTAATAAAGTTATATATTAAGACAATGGAGACATTCCCAGCTAATGAGTAGAATTGGTCGAGAAAGAAACGGGATGGATTTGAAAATTTTTAAAAAATCATTTTATTTGGGATCATATAATTCATCACAATTCATACATACATCAATTGTGTAAAGCATACTTGTACATTTGTTGCCCTCATCATTCTCAAAATTCACTTTCCTCTTGGGTTCCTGGGATTAGCTCCTCATTTTCCTTTTCCCCCTGGATTTGAAATTTTTTATGTTGAAAATACAATAACAGCTTGAAAACAAAGTACTGTTAGCTACAAAATGATACGATGGCTGCTAATATGAAGATTTATAGTTTCAAAACATTGTCAGAGGTGGGAAGGGGGAGCTGATAGTATTAATGACTATATAACCCCACTCGAGGGGAACGGAAGAATTGTAGGTGAATGGATGTATTGGATGGTGTAAGATATGGCACAAAAAAGGGGCCCCTGGCGGGTAGGTAGCAGTAGGGGGATAAAAGACGGAGCTGTGATATCAAGGAGCTCAAGAAGAAAGAAAATGTTTTGAAACTGCTTTTGGTAGTAATTGTACAATAATGCTTGATGTGATTGAACTGTGGAATGTTATTATACTGTATATGTAAGAGCTCCCAATAAAGTTATTTTAAAAGATTGTCAGATACTGAAGGCTTAATGAATGGAAGCTGAACTTTGCGATAGTGCTGGAGGATAGGCCCCTTGAAGTGGAGGGCACTTGAAATATGAATCAGGAGGAGCTGAATTTCTCCAGGGTGGAGTCAACAACAACATTGTGAAGAGGACTTCAGGAGTGGCCAAGGTAAGGAAAGTGACTGTGGGAAGCTTTATTAAGGGTTTTGTTCACTATTCTGGAGGTTAGAATTATTAGAAAGAAGGTTGATAGAGGATGTTATGATTGTTAAAGCTAGGCAGCCTAAGGGTTTAACCTTGACTCTGGTCCTTAACAAGTAATTCATTTCTTAGGTTTCACAGAATCCGTTTTCTTATCTGTAAATGGGGATGTTCTTACAGTTTAGTTTTTTCCATCTTATGCATGTCTAGGTTATGAGTGTACTTTGTAGAGTTTTCAAGGATGAAATGTTTTAGAAGCAGGCCACCAAGCCTGTTTTCTGAGGCATATCTAGAAGAGTTCAAAGCATGAAACTTTTGGCTAGTTGACTGAAAACGTAATTGTTTGCCCCAACCAAGGGTATGGCAGTGCAGTGAATTACTTAATATAGCCCTTTTAGCCATTTGTGGTCTTGCGACTCTCACACAGTGATTGAGTAGAACTATACAAATAAGTTGTTTGAGGCCCATCAAAGGGATTGGATAGCTTGTAAACAATACAGTAAGGTGTATGGAACCCTTGTAGGAGTTGGACCTTGTAAATAGGTTATATGAAATACTAATAAGGAGATTGATCCGTTTTGCCATCCCTCTAGGATAAAATGAGTGATCCAGAAGTGGAAGAGAAGGACCTCAGTACCATCAAGACAGACGGGTCAGGAGCAGGGTCATCCTTTGGACCCAAGGTCCCTGCACTGAGAACTCCTACGTCCAGGAGACAGAGAAGGAACAGTAACACCAGAAATAGTGTAAGTGGGAGAGAAGCAGCCAATAGAGACATTGTGGCAAAAATGGCAGCAGTTTGACTCTCTCTCCCAAAGACCATTTCAAGCTTGCATAGTGGCACAGTGAGCTTTATGACCTGAGGAGTGAGTGAGACAGGGAGCTTGCTAGTGTAGTAGGGTGCTAAAGAGCTTGGTA